TCAAGGCAACAAAACAAACGTTAGATTAAACGAACGTTAGGTTCAGGCAACAAAACCACAACAGCAGTCTGGGACACGTTGAGACTACTGTCTCGTACCAATCCACTCCACCTGCCCTCCTTCCCTCCACTGTTGTACTTCACGAAACATATCCTGATCATCCATCGGCGTTGCTTTCATGCGGAGTGACACAAATAAAAAGATAATTAGTGTCCCTGTACAGGAAAGCAATAGATTGAATTTTGTGGCTATTTCACTCACTGTCATGCTACTGGACTGGACAAACACACATCAACACAAGGACACATATACCATTGACTGCTATTCTTCTGAATACATAAAATATTCTGTTTGGATATTCTGAATAAGGCCTTATTCAGAATGGAGCGTTTTCCACCGTGAGATATGTCGATATTATTCTGGTTTTAGGAGCGTTCTTTGGACATGTATACAGCACATTCAGAATATGAGTCTCAATGGAGGTTTTTATGGCACTTTGTGACACACGGCCTCTTTCCTGTTTACGGCCAGCTCTGTGCGTTGAACACAAACTAACTGGCCAATAGTTCAGCTGGAGAGATACATGTCCAAACGAAAAGCCCACATTTCTGTTCTGAAGGAGAAACATACTTTTAAACATTATGAGCGACTTGGATATCAAGAAGTTTTTGGGATGTATGTAAATAAATGCCGAGCTTTTCAAGAAGGTGGTTGAAGGAATGAAAGAGGGAGGCTGAGTTCACACGGTTGAACAAGTCCTCCACCGCTGGAACATTTTAAAAGAAACATATTTTGATGCAAAGAAGCAAAATGACACAAGCGGCTCCTGCTGTTCCTTTTACATATAAGGACATGTTCGGGCACGGACCCGCGAAACACAGCTGAGAATGTGGCTGACGTGGGATTCACTGGCCGCGGTAATGAGGATGCAGCGAGGGGTCGTTTTACGTTAATGTGAATATGCACAGCTGCATGTAAAACGTAATGTTAGTGGAATATTCATCTTCATAACCCATGTGAACAGCTTATTAGGAATATTGTCTTTTTCGGAATAATTGCAAAAAACTGAATATTTGGTGCATGTAAACGAAGTCGATGTTGAGCCACTAGAGGTACACAGATGAACACACACCTTGGGGCACATTACCTGCACCAACCCGGTCTCCCTCAATCAAACTCGTCCAATACAAGCGGCCATTTTTGTTTGTTTGTTTTGTTTTGTTTCAATTAACAATGTTAACAACATGTTTAAAACTAATGCTGGAGAAAATGAGCTTCCCTCAAAATGTAATTAAAGGAAACATTTCGTAGGCGACTTAAAAACACCTTTGCCTCGAGACGTGGTCGACCACTCTTTGTATTTCTTTTAAAGCCCTAAATACTTTGGTACATCCTGTAGTCAACAACAGAACTAAAAGTTAAAATAATAGAATGAACAAGTCATCACATTGTACTTTAATCACACATTTCTTTGTCTTTTTCTAATCTGTTCTCTCTTTACCACCACTGCTCACTGTCTCTTACATACTTAGTCTGACTCTAAATTGATATCTCCTGCCCCCCCTCTCTCCACTTATTTAATTTGGAATCACATTAAGGCTCCGGAGAAGAAAGTTAATTACGCTGCATTTTGAATTATGAATTGCGCTACAGTTTGGTAACATATTGCCTCATTCCTCACCGCTGACTGAAGCTGCGATGAGATTTTTCACAGTTACTTTGCAGGTATCAAAGGTGCCATGTTCAGTGTGGAATTTTAAATTAACTTGATATCATCTTCTGTTAAAGCCCACACGACAGAAGAAGGGCTTCTTTCCAAAATGCAATATTAAGGGAATTAATTATGAAAGAAAAATGGGCTTTTCTCAATCAATATTACTCACTTAGCAGGATCTTTAATGGCATTTATTATGAGGGTTATGAGACTAAACTGTTTGTTTTTTTCACAATAATAACAAACACTAATAAAAAAGTAAAAGTATAGTACATTTTAAAGGACAAGCTAACTTTATTTTACACATAACAATCTTCAATTCAGCAGTGATAATGAACAACAAATTGTATTTATAATTGTAATGATTCCTAAAGCTGAAGGGTGAACTGTACTATGATGTCATGCTATAGTTATCGGACCCGGGTCGGAGCTGGCTGATGCTAGGCTTTGATTGGCTAGACTGCGTACGAGGGGCGGGATTAGCGCTCAGTTGCCCAATCACTTCCACTATATTCAGGTGGAGGTGTAACTCTCAGAGACAAAGATGTTAAAACCTGAACAAATAAAAACCGAATTGTGCTATATGCTCCTGTTTAGGAAAAGAGCGTGAAACACTTAGTTAGGTTTAAGAAAAGATCGTGAAATACTTAGTTAGGTTTAAGAAAAGATC